ATACAGGCTGTCTCGGTTCTTTATGGCTAAACTTAGGAGAGTGATTCTTGACAAAATTTCCAACAAAAATGTTTATGTGATTCATGGGCTGATTCCGAACGAAAAAGACCAATTTTGTAGTTTTTATTGAATAAGAAGGAATTGCTAAAAAAACTGTTTAAGATAATGAAATTGGCTAAGGTCAATAATAAAAGGGAATTTTAGGTCTGATACGGCCCTTGCCGTTACAGTACTCATACACCTCTGTAATAAAGATTCATGAAATAATTAGGCATAATGGTAGGCTTTGTGTTATTAGACCTCATCCAGAGTTTCGACATTAACAACTGAGCTACCCTGAATAAATTTATAAGCACTGATGACTCACACGTTTGGGTTGAAGCATAGGCAATAAAATACTTTCCAAAATTGACTGTCCTGATCATTTATCGCTCATGATATGTAGAACAGTCAACGAACTTCCATTAATATTAAATTAATAGATTTGATTCAGTAACTGTGCTTGTTTAAAGGACGGAGATCTCTAATTCAGCACTTTTGTACTCTCCTCACACTTAAGTGTATGTTAGTTATAGTTATGTCTCGATTATGACGATTATTAAATCGTTTGCATGTTTGTTTAAATTTGTATAATATATTTGGTAAACGATATGTGTATGCAAAATGTTAACAAGCAGAGGTCATTATGTGTCAATACTTGACAATTAGAAAACTGGATAAGTTTTGAGGTTCGTTGGTTAAGGGATGGAAGTTTGACAACTATTGCAAGTTTGAATATTCATAAACGTCAATTTCACCAAGGTTTCACAGGATTATTTTCGTTGTCCGTATTTTCTTAATTAAAGGATCCGAGCGTTTTAAGTATGCTCTATCGTAATTTTATGTTCAAATTATTAATGGTGAAATGATCGCTAATAAAAAAATTATGATAATCAGCTGTCATTTTCAATTCAAGTAGGGTAGGTACCCATAGGGGTAGACTTCGGAGGGAAGAAGGAGAGGGGCTATCGTCCTCCTCCTTCATAACAATGTTGTGGAGCGAGGATATCATTTTTCCTTCCTCCCTCCCTCCAGATTATTAATAATTAATAATTTTAGAAAAATTAAATAAAATCGTGATTAAATAAGGTATATGAACGAATAAGATGTGTAAAGTAAAATCGATTAAGAAAAGTATCTATCTTGCTAGACTAATGCCTAGTAGGAGGTATATATATCTTATTTACTTAACTACTTAATGTAGTCGTCTTTGTTACCGCTGAGCAGTGTGAGGTCCCTTCTTATAGAGGCTCCAAGAATCTTTATCCTGGGACAGCTACCTTCTCCTCCTCCAATCAATTCCCCTCCTGTCAAAGACTTCTTTGATTCCTTCTTCCCATCTTTTTCTTGGTCTTCCCTGTGGCCACCTTACCTCCACTCTGACCTCGTAGGTAGCCCTGGCAATTCTGTTTTCAGCCAATCGCGAGGCACCTCCAAACCACCTGAGTTAGTTCTCTTGGATTATTTCCTCTGCAGGCCTCAGGTCCAGATTTGCTCTTATGGTCACAATCCTCACGCGGTCTCTTCTAGTTTCCCGCCTATTTGTTTCCTTAAATACCGCATTTCCATAGCTTTCATTTTGCTGTAAATATATATATCAATACTATTTTATTGATAGATAAATGTTAATTTTATTTAAATTGTCATTTACATCACAAATCTTGAAGAATGGTGTCAAAACTGGAGGATAAAAATAAATTACAATAAATCCCATCAGATCACCTTTACCGTTCGTCGTAAACCTATGTCCTCCTGTCCTACAGTATTCTTTAATAATACCCCACTTATCCCTGTTGAACAAATTCGATACCTTGGACTCCACTTAGACAAACGTCTAACTTGGAATCCTCGTACCAAACTGAAACGACAAGGAACCGCCCGACGTTTTCGAATACTACAGCACTTACTAGACAAACGCTCTAAGCTTTCAATCAATTACAAACGACTGATATATATGACAATAGTAAGACCTATTTGGACTTACGGAATTGAGCTTTGGTGCTCCACTAAACCATCGAATTCCTTTCGTATCCAATCCTTACAATCCAAAATCCTTCGTAAAATTCTCACTGCTCCTAACTTTGTCACAAATAAAATCATCCATAACGACCTTAATATACCTTATGTTTCTCACCTGGCCCAATCCAGATTCCTACCCTTGCATAACAAAATTCAGAACTATCCAAATACTCTCGTTTCTAACCTTGCTTCCTCTTTGATCTCTGACAACCCTCTGAGGCGTCTGAAAAGAAGATGGCCTCGAGATCTCCTTTTGTAAATACATTTTTAGAATGCTACCAGAGGGTAGTTTCTCAACAAGTGATTTCTTGTTATTATGTTCTTTTGTTCACATTTACTGAATGTATTTTTATTTGTAATACAGTTGTAAATATCATCAATAAAAAAAAAATAATAATAAATTGTCATTTTTATTCGAAGATAACAATATATTTCAACATACCCTAGGTTTTTATAATTCAATCACTTCTCAATTTTCACGTGATATTCTTGTTACATTTTACGCGGCAAACTAGTCTGACTGTAAAAAATGTTATATTTTTATCTGAGGTTGTATACACAAAGAAATCAAAGATATTTTTCACTTTTTTTACATCATTCATTTTTACCTGAAAATGTTCTAGAAATGTACCAATCTTATGAAGGCTGTATCCCCTCCTCTCCCTGTCCAATGTAAACAAATATGTTAAAAAATATTTGATTGTATTTTTATTTAGATATTTTCAAGTATATATAATAACTAAAACAAAAAAATAAATAAAAATCCTTTCAACGATACAAACATTAAACTAAATTAATTTTAAATATTCAATGTTATATTTGTCCGTTTCACAGTAATTATATTGAATTTTCACACATAATAATAACTCGCGCCATTGTTTTGGTCCATCGGCCCCTCGAACAAAATCGAAAGTCTTCACCTATGAAGGTACCTATCAATTTCAACGCAGCATAGGCATGTTGTATCCGTAACCCATGTTCATACTTAGATTATAAATTCCAGAATGATTAAAGTTTTTTTTAGAAATTCCTTGATTTAATAAAAATTAAATAATTGAACAAAAAATAAATAATTTTAAAAATTCCTTATGAACAGGCCAGAAAGGGAGTTGACAGACTCACGGCCATCTGATGGCTGCTCCATTGTGCCTCTTATCTTGTGTCACATGAATTTGTGACAAGTTTCACAAGAAAACTGGGACAGCGCCTCGCTAAACATGACAGAATGTCTTGCCAAATCATCTTCCTCATTTATAATACCTTCACCGGTGATGTATTTAAACTAAGCTTGTTAAAAACGATTTTTTTATAATCAAAGCTAAACATTAAAAATATAACGGGACATCTACACTATACATATATATTTATAAACACCTAGAATAAATTATACTTGGACAGTATAATGTATAAATATAAAAATACATTGTTTGTAACTGTATTTTATATCTAAAATACAATATACACAAAATACATGTTATGGGTATTGTAAATACGTAAAATACATTATGAAATTGAGAAGGCGCATTTAAGTTATATTATAAGCCTGATCGTTCGTACAAGAACTCTTGAAAATTGAGCTTGAAAAGTTTTTAATTTTTATTTTAAGATCGATGGTGCTAAATTTTTAATACAATTATCTATGAGAATAAAACTGGTAAGGAGTTCTCTAATGTGTTGGATGCTCCTAGATTGAAATGATCAATTGTTTGCGGAACGGTTATTATAAAAAATCTAGTTGCCAAAAAATATGGTTTGAAATTAATCTACGTAGTCTATTTACTTGTTTGATGGTCAAATATAATTTTGTTTAAAAAATTGTTCTTTTCCAAAAATATTGATTGAATAAAATGTGTTTTCCTCAATTGCTTGTTTTAAAGCTACCTCTGCTGTGCTCTCCGTTCATAACTCCTTTCCTTACATAAAAAAAATATGATGCATGTTTTCAAGTTATAAATTTGTATTTTTCAATTTATTTATTTAGAAATATAACAATCTGTCACAAGGACAATAATTATAGTGAAATGTGAAGAAATCCACAACATATATACAGAATAGATAAAATAAACAGAAGCAAAATAATAATAAAAAAGGTATATGCAAAAATAAAAAATAAAATAACTTAAAGATAAGTAAATTAAAAACATAAAAACACAGCCATATACAATCATGCAGAAGACCCCAAGCCAGGCTTGTTTCTCCAACTATAGAGGGGAAAGCAGGACTCCAATAGATCCCTGCGCTACTCTCTCAACCGCGTTACTGGTACTAATGCCAGTGGAGATTGAGCGAGATCGCTCATGTCTTGAGTGGAGAATCTGGCCATGGAGGATTGTAGGGATGGGTGGAGCAAGATAGGGATATTGCAAGGAGATTTGGATGATTCGTTAAGTTCAGACGGATTTGGAAAAATTTTCAGGGATAAGGTCTAGGATAAATGGGATATCAAGGTCATGATGTAGGGTTTTGTTGGTTAAATAGAACGGAGCACCGACTATTGTTCAGAGGACCTAGGACTGAAAAGATTGGTATAGGTAGAAAAAAAAAGAAGAATAGTATAGGTATTTAATCAAAGGTATGTTTGAGTGATCTTAAGTTTGATTTAAATTCTAGATAATATAAATCTTATTATATATATATATATATATATATATATATATAGATTTTTTTTTTTTTTTTGGCAAAATGCACCATGAACCATGAAGACCTATTGTATGCATATATATAAATTACTTTAACTTACTTAATTAACATTGTAACAATCTCGTAATATAATTTTAAATTTATACATTCAGAAAGATAAATTAAAAATAAAACCATAGTTCAAGGGCGTAATAACCAAGTTGTCGATCACCTAAGATAAATCGTAACCTAAGCTACAAACCTTGGCAGTCTACATTATCATGTCAAAAGACAGGGATACCGATACAAGATACTGAATCTGAATGGAAGAGAGCGAATGGGAGCAGCTGACTTGTATACTCTTGTTAAGACGAGGTCCTCAGCTGGACCATCCCACCTGGAGGCCCCACATGTCTTGGCCACCTGCTGCTTCCTCTGGATACTCAGCTATAGATCTCTCCTCTGTCCGCTGGTCTGCCGATCCTTGCTTTTAGCAGGAGCTGATTAGAACTTTGAAAAATCAGTACAATGCAAACAGTTTTATGTATTACCAGAGAGAATCATTATATTATCATATAAGGGTGCTGCCCAATTACATTGGATTGCTTTAAACACAGCATACTTATTAATCGCTACAGAAAATTTTCTAAAAATAATATGCAATTATTTAGTGTTAACAATATGTATGAGCATAGTATACAATTTTTTTTATATGTGTATTATTTTTTTCTTTATCTATTTATCTTTATATATTTTTTTCTTTATTTTTTTATTATTATTATTATTTATTTTTATTTTTACTATTTCTTTCATTCATTTATTAGCATTCTATATCCATTTCTCTTCCTTCTCTCCCCTTATACATTTTTCTTACTCCCTATATTCTCTCCTCTCTCTTCCTAACCTAATTCATAAAATATTACAGGTGTCGTTATTACAGTTCTATAAAATTTATTATTAGTGAATCTATACCTAAAGATTAAAGATTTATTACTTGAGAACGGATCTTTGTCCGGAAAAACAGAAAATTCTTAAAATCGTGCAGTAAAAACAAAAAATACGGAAAATTGTGTAGTTGAAACCTAAAAACGTGCAAAAAATCATCAATTTTGTTTAATTTATTATATTAGTAAATCGAAATCTGATCAAACCTTGTGTAGAGGTTCTTAATTAAAGAAATTTGTAACGTGAAAAAAAATTAAATTGCAACATTCAAAATGAAGTTATTGAGAATTTAAAGAAAACTTGAGAAATAAACTGTAATACTTGAGATTTTCAAGCGTTACAATCTCAGTGTTCATGCTGTTTTTCCAGATCACTAAGAAAATATTCTTTGTGCTCTTACTAAAAAAAATATTTAATTCTTTAATAGAAGTATATGCTCTCACCGGTTGTAAAACGAGTGGCTATTAGTGATTTTCTATCCAACTGATTGATTTTTCAGAGTGTACATAAAACAATTTTTCCATCGAATTTCGACTCGAGATAATAGATCCTACTTAAAGATATTATACAATATTGTTTTGAAGAAAAATAATGAAATTACTAATAATGAAGGACTGAGGAATGGAGTAAGAATTCAAGTCAAAACAACACCAACAAATGTTCTAACAAAAGAGCTTATTCTAGGAAGGCCGTTCTTTATTATTACCCAATACCTTAGGCAAGTTATATTCATTTAACATGTAAATATAATGATAAATATATAAACACACATACACATATATTTATAAAGCATGTAATCCAGCTCAAAAAGGGCAAAAACGTGCAATTTGATGTAGCAAAAATCAAAATCGTGCAATTTCGTGCAATATCAAATACTGTGAAAATAACAAACCGTATTTATTATGTCGACGGTAGGCAATGACAACCTCTTAACATCAGTCTATTTGAATAATATTACTACAATCTTCGAGTTCATTAAACAAACGAGTTCCCTTCCAGCCTTCGAAGGGTGCACATCGCGGTTTGCGGCTTTGATCTCAGTACAATAGGCCCACTGTTGTTTGGTTTCCGAGAAAATAAGTTTATTTACTTTCGTGTGTCTGGTTTCCAGGGACTGATAAGCTTGCTATCTTTCTTACCCAAGTGTCTTATAGTGAAAATGTGTTCTCTTCAAAGGAATAATCTGTTTGTATAGTTTTTTTTTTTTTTTTTAAAGTGAAAACAGACACTTTACTTATGAGTGCACGCCAGTTAGCTGGCTCGAGTGGACTGTCGGATCAGGCCGTTTTGTCAAAACTGCTGAAGAGAAAGGTAAGATCCACTTCAAGTATTTCATCGAAAGACGGGACAAATGAGAAAAAGAGAGCGAGTTCAAACAATTCTGTGATAAAAACAACATCAAAAAATCCTAAACAAAAGCAAACATATGTTAATTCACATAACCTCCCTAACTCCACGAATACTGAAATGAATACTTTAATTATTGAAAATAATAACTCTGCGACCCATATCATTGAATCTATACTAGAACATGATGTTAACAACACTGGAGTACCAGAAAATGCTGTTCAGAGTTCAAATGCAACAAATACACCAACAACAATAAATAGTATCCCTAACGTTCCAGTCAGTAATAGGTTTGAACCTCTTTCTACGGAAATGGAAGACGAACCTGACGAAACAATAGTTACTCATCAACCACCTCCAATTAAAATAAAAGGCATAACAAACTTCCAAACTCTCTGCACGAATTTAGTAAGCCTTTTAGGAGAAAATAATTTTGAATGTTTCTCTAACAAATCGATTGTTACTTTAAAAATTAAAACAAGTGAAGCCTATAGAGTCTGCATTAAATATTTAGAAACCAACAATTACAACTTTCACACTTATCAATCCCAAGAAGACAAACCATATAGGTTTGTTATTAGAAATCTCCATTATTCAACACCACACGAAATGATAAGATATGACCTTGAAAGAAAAGGATTCAACATCCGTCTCATCACTAATGTGTTACACCCGAGATCAAAAGAACCACTCCCACTCTTCTTTGTTGACTTAGAGCCAGCTCCAAACAATGCTGAAGTTTTTAATATCACTAATTTGGCTTACACAAGAGTTAGGATTGAAGAACCTTACAAAAGAAGAAGTATTGTTCAATGTATGAGATGCCAAGAATACGGGCACACCAGAACATTTTGCCATCATAAACCACGATGTGTGAAGTGCGGTCAAGATCATCCTAGTGATAGGTGCCAGAAACCACTTGAAGAGCCACCTGTTTGTGCGTTGTGCAGTGGCAATCATCCTGCGAACTATAGGGGATGCATAGTGCATCTAGAGCTGCAGAAAAGAAGACTCAACGTGTGGAACCAGGCCACTTCGAGTAGAGAGGTAACAGAACACCTGCCTCCAGAGGCGTAACACGACCGACTTACTTACACCGTCCCTATCTCGCAAAAACTACACAACACGACTTACGCACAGGCAACGTGTACTAAAACTACATATCACAACACAACACCACAATTCACAACTGCTCAAACAACGAGTGTAACTCCTCACTACGCAATCTCTCACAATATAGCTCCTCATCATACAACTCAAATTACAAATCCCAAAACTTCAAATGAATCTTCTCGTTATGTAATCCCTCACAATATCATTCCATATCATGTAGCTCCTCAAATTACAAATCCCCAAACTTCAAATATATCTCCTCACAACACCATTTCTCATCATACGACTCCTCAAATTACAGATCCTCGAACTCCAAATATATCTCCTCAATACACTACTTCTCATACTACAAGTATAACTCCTCAGCACTCAATAAACCAAACGAGTATAATCCCTGACCGTTCAGTACCTCATTATACCCAATCTCAATACATACCGAATCAATACACGTCAACCTCATACTCAAGACCTCATCACACAACATCTAATACACAACCTAATACTCCAGATCTCTCATTATATTTTAATTCCTTCTTAAACGATTTTAAATCTATGACAACTCCGCTCATCACTCTTCTCACCACGCTAATTACCAAATTTATTCCTCATGTTAGTCCCTAATTCTATCTCACAACACTCTCTAAAAATCCTTCTTTGGAATTCAAATGGAGCCCTACACCGAAGGAATGAACTTGACATTTATTTACATGAAAATGACATTGACATTGCATTACTAACAGAAACTCATTTTACTCAAACTACAACATTTTACATACAAGGGTATGTATTGTACCGCGCTGACCATCCCAGCGGTACTGCCCGTGGTGGCTCGGCAATAGTCGTAAAACGAACATTATACCACTATCCTCTTCAAATGACTGCCTTACCAGAAATTCAATTATCATCTATTTCGGTTGAAATCGATCACACCAAAATTTCTATTGCCAGTGCATATTGTCCTCCGAGACAAAGAGTTTCACAAGAAACGTTTACAGACATACTTGGCAGCTTAGGACCTAAATTCTTATGTGGAGGCGATTTTAACGCCAAGCATGCCCGTTTCGGCAATAGGACCAATAATTCTAGAGGAAACTCTCTTTTTAATACATGTATAGAACTGGACTATAACTGCATACTACCACCTGAACCGACTTACTGGCCGACAGACATAAACCGTCAACCAGAATTACTTGATTTCTTTATAACTTCTAGCCTACACACACTACACCATCATATCTCTATTAGTAACGACTTATCATCAGACCATTCAGCGGTTATTTTATCTCTCTCTAGACACATGTTTACTATCAACCACACACCTACACTAACTCCTGGACCAATATTAATTGATAAATTTCATTCCATTATTAATAAGACTATTGATCTAAACACAAGATTAAAGACGGAAAATGATATTGACAATGCAGTAGAGACGCTTACTAAGACTATACAAACTGCCGCTTGGCAATCAGCACACAAGTACGAGACCAACCGCGACAAACAGTACTTACCCCCGGAAATACGATCACTTCTAATTGAAAAACGACGTGCTCTCAACCAATGGAAAAGATCTCGCTATCCCAGTGACAAACAGATACTAAACGCACTTTCTAACAAACTTAGAAAACTTATACAACAATACAAACAGGAAACTTACAAAAAACATCTGACCACCTTACAGACAAGTAACAATACTCTCTGGCAACAAACCCGAAAGATACTAGGGTACCACCAAACAAAGACTCCTCTCCGTAAACCAGACAACTCATGGGCTAGAAGCGATAAAGAGAAAGCAGACTTATTTGCTACTCATCTTACAGACGTATTTCATCCACATGAAGAGTTGCCTGACCAACAGCACTGCTCAGACGTCCAACAAATCCTAATTTCTCCTCTTCCCCTTTCTCTACCTCCTTCCCCTATAACTCCTTCGGACATAGAATTTTGTATTAAAAAATTACCTCGCAGAAAATCTCCTGGCTTTGACCTAATCACCCCTAAAATTGTACGACTTCTACCCAAAAAAGCATTAATCTTCCTGACAGCTATTTACAATTCTATCCTTCGACTTACTTACTTTCCTCTAGTATGGAAATTTTCAATCATAAAAATGATACCGAAACCAAGCAAACCTTTAGACCAAGTCACGTCCTATAGGCCTATCAGTCTTTTACCCTTATTTTCCAAAATATTTGAAAAATTATTATTAAAACGGCTCTATCCATTTTTAGAAGCAAACAATGTTATTCCTAATCACCAATTTGGATTTAGACCTGCACACTCTACTATACAACAATGTCATAGAGTGATTGATACAATTGCTGTGGCATTGGAAAAGAAGGAATTTTGCACAACAGCTTTCTTAGACGTCTCACAGGCCTTTGATAAAGTGTGGCATGATGGTCTACTTTGTAAAATTAAACCAATCTTTCCGCATACATATTATTTAATAATCAGATCGTATCTTGAGGATAGATTTTTTATTGTTAGTCAGGATGGTAAATACTCCGACTATTGCCGAATCGGCGCGGGAGTACCGCAGGGCAGTATTTTAGGTCCGGTTCTGTACTCAATTTACTCTTCTGATATTCCACAGACACCGGACACATTACTCGCAACTTACGCAGACGACACTGTCATACTCTCGACTGACTCTAATCCGATCACAGCATCTCAGAAAGCACAGATTCATTTAAATCTTCTACAAGACTGGCTTGATAAATGGCGCTTAAAAATTAACATTCAAAAATCAAACCAGGTTACATTTACACTTAAACGTTCGGATTGCCCTCCACTGACACTTTACAACACCCCTTTGCCAAATCATACTGAGACAAAATATCTAGGACTCACAATGGACAGACGACTGACCTGGAAATCACACGTGACTACATTAAAAAAGAGATTGAACCATCGGTTATCACTACTAAGACGAATGCTACACCATAAAAACAAACTATCACTTTCTAACAAAATTACTATATACAACATGCTACTCAGACCAATATGGACGTATGCCTCTCAGGTGTGGGGTTCATGCAAAAAAACACACTTACAGACTATTCAAATTTTCCAATCTAAATTTCTCCGGTATATCACTCATTGTCCCTTCTACATAACCAATAAATCACTTCATAAAGACCTACAAATATCACAAGTGACTGATGTAATTAAAAAATATTATAAAAGTTTCCATGACTCCTTAGCTGGACATCCTAATCCACTTGTACAAACATTGCTAACAGACACACTACCACAGAATCCACCAAGGAGACTCAAGCGCCTCTGGAGCAGAGATCTGCTGCGTCAGGAGTCACGTTAGGAGTGCCTTCACTGGGAGGCTTCTCCAATCACGTATTCACGCTAATCCCGGAGAGGAGGTTCGCTAACGAACATCACATTTACAAAATATGCCAAAAGGCATTTGTAAAATTGCTCAATAAATAAATTTATTATTATTATTATTATTATATATTATATATATTAAACAAACGAGTTCATTAGGAGATTTAAAACCACATATTTATAATAGTCCATGGTACAAACCCCCTTTTTATCAAATTATTAACATGCACCTGAAACTTCTTAAATCTCATCTCATTGTAAGCTTCAAATATTTTATTTACGAAAATTCTCAAAATTGGAGCGCTTTCAATCTGGATATTGGCAAACTTTGTCTATTTAATTAGGTACTAAAAACTCATGAATACCCATTTGCTTTCCACTTAAATCGTAAAAAAACATGATCACAAAATCGAAAAAAAAAAGGTTGCCTACAAAAATATTGGGACGTTTAGCCTACATAACCTTGTTATTTTAGCTTTTTCGGGGTGGAGGTAACGCCAAACGGACCAATATTTTTGTAGGTAATCTTTTTTTATCATAATATCATATTATAAACTTTATGATCATGTTACCTTACGAGTCAAGTGAAAAACAAATGGGTATTTATGAGTTTTTAGTGCCTAATTAAATAGACAAAGTTAGCCCAGCTCTAGATTGAAAACCCCCCAATTCCGAGTAAAAATATTTGTAGATTACGATCAGAGATGATGCTACTTAGAAAGTTTCAGGCGGATGTTAATAATTTGATAAAAAGGGAGACTATAGACTACAAAACCTAATCTATAAATATGTTTCTATAGTATATTTAAATATCTATAGGATTGTACAACATAGTAAAAATTATTGCAACTAAATCTATATACATCTTTTAAAACAGTTTTTTTTTTTCTCCTCTTCTAAAATTTACCAAAAGATGATTTCATTGCTTGCTGTCGATACGCCATAAGTAGTACCTACAGAATGTGATACCACAGAGAAAAATAATTTATTTTTTTCTTTGTTTTTTCCTTTTTTTTAGGATTTTCCACTGATAGTGGGTTTCCTTAACCTAGAGTGCTTAGATGGCTTCTTTTCATAATGTTCTATCTAAGGTTTATTTTTCCCTTATTTATTCTAAAGTTATTGAGCTACAGTAAATTTACTTAAGGTTATTAACATGCAGTTTACTCATCCAAAACACAGCATAAATTATTTTTATATTCCACTTCTTTTCTCGCATAAGATCAATAAAATATTTTTTAAACAATCTCATTACTTCGATTCAGCGGATCATATATACTTTTTTGTGTTTAAAATAGATTTTAAAAGATAAAAAAAAAAAGGTGTGAGATAGACTCAAATGATTCATACAAGAAGTTAAGGTGGACAGTCCATCCGAAAAGTCAAAAAGTAATTGATAGAATAAAGAATGTTTTGTAATTTGAAGGTTAATATGTTTCAAAAATGTATTACAGCCTTATTTATTACTGTTGTAAAGCAGTGAATTATTTTTTTTAGATTCAATAAATACTTTTATTGAATAATTTGAAAATGGCGAAGCTATTATTTCCGTAGAATAAATTGCAGGAGAATTCGACGGTGGAGGAAGGAAGGGATGGGTGCGGGCATATCGTTAAGAAACATTATTTTATTGTAGGATGTCCTTTCGGTCCAAGTTTTAGGCCTATATCAACATAACAATTTCGAATCATGAAATTTGGCAACATACAGTTAGTGTAGAAATAATACAACGATATAGAGAAGTTTGACACT